ACATTTTGTTGCATGAGCTTAACTTGCACTTATTGCTATTTTCTTTCGAGCCATTTACATTTTAATATGCACAGTGAACACAGGGACATTTTACTTTTGTACAGCCTCGTGGTGGTTAAAAAAGACGACAGTTTAATGCATTGAAGGGCTGTGATCGAATAAGATGCTGCTTTAAATGAGGCTTTCGACGCCTTAATCACGCGAGGTCCTTCAAACGAGACACCTCATGCTTTAAATGCGGCACATCTTGGGATGTTCCCCTGGGGGGCTGTGAGTTGAATAATACAATAGCACATTTATCAGCTCACTAATGCTAATTAGACGGTTGCATAGAAACGGAAATAATGTACAGTAATGTTCCCTGTGCCTCGTCACTTCCAGCAATACTCACAACTGCGTTTTGGGTTTAAGGAAGAAAATAATAGCTTCCTATCTTAACCATTATGTACCAATGTATAAAAATAAAATAATAAGATATAACAAGATGTGATAATCTAAAAGTAGGTTTGATCTCTTCAAGTAACCATAATGCATTTTTTATTAATAAAAACGGACATGCTGTGAATTCATGATGTGTGTGTGTGTGTGTCAAATTAAGGCTTCTCTCAAGGTGGCACCAATTATGACTACTGGAAGTTTAAGAGAGGAATTCACCAGACGCAGTCGAGCGAGTGTCAGTCAGCTCAAAATGAAGACAGACATTTCAAGCTCCCACGACCACAACATGAGCCGAGAATCTCAATTTCAACTAAACTTTAGATTTTTCTTCATCTAAAGCTATCTGAGAATCAGTGCTGTCCAACCGTTCTTAGCTGCAGCAGCGCGGGAAGACTCTTTAATGTCTGATAGGAATCAGACGGGATAGGAATCCTTTTGTACCTTATTTTGATTCAAAGATGCTTTCAATTATGGTTTGCTCTTTGTCGGCTGATAAACGTTAGCTCTGAAGTCTGATCATTTAAGTCGAGCTCCGTGTGGTGTATTCGCCTGCTTTGATTCTTGCCCTTGCCGCCATCCAGCATGAGTGGAGCGCTGTTCAACGTTGTTTATAGTGAATGTTACACTTGAGTTTTATGTTGAGCGAATGCGGATGTTTCTCAATAGCCATATTTATGGTTAGAACGACAAGGAAGCGCGGTTGAACATGTGCTGAGACGCACAATACAGCTGTGTTTTCACAAGCAATTGTGTGTACTTTCCAAAAAATGCACCACCCTGACATCCCCCCAAAGCCATCTGACAGCGTTATACAGGATACCTGCCAATTTTCACTTTGAGAGCATGTGATATGGCGGTTGGTCCAGAAAACCGAAAACGAAGACACCCAACCGTCACCTCTCTGGCATTGTGGTAGCGGCGTGCATCTCAGAGGCTGATATATTTAAACCTAGTCAAACAAGGCCAAATTGATCTGCGTGGCTGGATCCCAGAAGACTTACAGTAAGTGACAAAATAAGTATTGGGTGTCATCTGACCGACCCTACCCTTTAAGAAGCCCGCTAACACAGGATGGGTTTAGCGTGTTGCTAACTGTGTTCCCCCTTTTGGCAAGTTCACCTCATATATGCAAATATGTCAATCAGCTTGATTAACTCTTCGGTAGGAATCGGGGTTCATCATAGTTTTCCTGCATCTTTTGAAGAAGCACGTCGCAAGTGCATGCTGAGGATTTTTTGGTTAAATCAAAGACGACGCTCAATTCATAAGTGAGCCTACTTGGGGGAATGGAAATGAATATGGAGATTCGGCTGCAACTCGAGAGTGAAAGTGTCAGAAATATTAGTATTATTTCCTTTCCAAATCAATGCGCCGACAGCGAGTCCAAGGGTCTCCATCTTAAAAGTGGGGATATTTACATCTGCACAAAAAACTGAAATGTGACGGCACTCACATTTCACATGTCACATTTACATGCGTACATTTGAGTCCCTTCTGTTTTCATTTGACACTCACAGTAGTCCTGCTTGCCATCACTGTCTTGAATGTGCAGCAGCACAATCTGAGAAAGCGTCCTGCAGTTATTTCCACCGCGACAGGATCTGACAGACAGTGGCTGCCACAAGTCAACGTGCATCATTGCGTTGCCATTCTCTGAGAAGAAACAGACCCTACTGAGGGAAACGTCTAACGTAGAGAACTATCGTAGAGAATTGTATCCGCGATGGCAAAAGCGCTAATGATTTGTTACGCCACCGTAGCATTTAGAATTCTGGGGTTATGTAAAACATTGCAGCCTTCCTGATTGTTGCTACGCACGCAGGATGCAGCATCATCTTTGAAATTCATATCCAACTTTAGTTGCAGGAAGGTAAACAGTGTGTGATTACAGCGCTGCATATAAAACACGGCTCAGAACTGAACAGAAATCAGAGGAGAGATCTTCACTTGTTTCCTCGTTGTGTTATTGGAATGAATTCATTCCCACATACGTCTGCAATGTGTGAAGGGATTACTTCTATGCACTTGCGTTTTGCCCTATAAGTGCAAAAAATGTGTAGATTAATGATGTTAGGGAACTTGAAGCTTATTCTCTATTTTGATCAAAATGCCGCCTGCATTTCTGTTCTGCAATTCATTCTGTATTGAGTTTAGTTGTATTTTTCTACTGAAAATACAATGAAACCCCCTTTTCGCATATTTATGATTTTGTGAAGTCTGCATTGTTAACATCAGCATTCTTCTTCTCCCTTTTTATTGGCACAACAACTGCGACTGCATAGCTTCTCTCCGTTGTCAGCAGATGTGTTATGCACCTACCCGGCCACCTCCATTGTTGTGGCATGAATGAGAGTGCTTATAGACGTCCCACTATGACATGAATATAAATGTTTACAAAATGTAAATCCGGTGACTGTGACAGAGAAACGTTTGTTGACAGCGTTCAGTCTGGTTTGCAGGTACCTACTCGTTATCCGCGGAAAAAAACGTTGCAATGATTACTAGTTAAAATACAGATAAATACCACAGCCTGAGTTTGCCCTTTGAGGAAACTCTGATATGTGCTCGCTAGAGGATTATCTGATTTACATGAGTAATATGTCAAGGTCTCTCAGTGCATTAAATAGTAATGATGTCAGGGATGGAATCATTTTGTAAGCAACTCACGACACACAAATACAGACACATGCAACCATACTGCATGCGATCAATATCAAAAGTCTCTTTGTGATCAATGTTGGAATTAATTGGGAGTGTCACAGGGAGCAAAGTGCTAAGTTGTCAGATACTGTTAAACGACCGTTGAGCTGGTGTCAGACGTGAGTAGAACTGCCTTCACTGGACTGACGTTTATTTATTTTTTAAACTATGGCTGCGTATATTTTGCTTTTATGTTCTATTTTTTTACACTTGAACACAGTTCTAGCTGCAGAGATGTCAGCATTGGTTTGTCTTTCACTGTGTATTTCATATTGAGTTTTCTTCCTCTAATTCAGTGTTTCATCAGTGATCAATGTTTTATCACTGTTTTATCTTGACAATTGGAAAATTGCCCAACCGCTTATTTTCCTGTTAACAGTGGACCCCCGAGGTTTCCCTGGTGCAAAAAAGCCTAGAAAATGCTGCCCACAATTTACGCTTCTGGGATCCAGCCTGCCTGGCCTCGGCTCCATTTATTTATGGGAGTGTTTCAGTGGCGGTTCTGTTCAGTGAGAATAAGCCTTTGATCTTAAATTGAGGATGCTTTCCACATCTTAGTCAGGAAGGACACCAGTCAATATTTGGCCTGAGGTTATTTAATTTGGAAAAGGAGTTTGATTCATACATTAAAAAATTCCAATTACCCTGTCATGAGTTGAGCAAGCCCAAAGGAGGCTGTTTTAATCATACAGCTTTATCAAACTCTTTAAATTGAGTTTAACATGGGCAGGATCATAAATTCTGCCTCGGGGAAGGTGATATCCCTTAATTTTTCCTTAACAGCAAACATTTTAAAAATCTATGTTCATCTAGAATTACTTCTCCGGAGTAAACATTGATCGCTCCTTTCCCTTTCAATCTCTGGTTTCTCTTTTTGTGGAATCCTCAAAACGACCACCATGTGATTCACATTGATACCAATCAGTTTTTGAAAGAATGGGTCACTATACCTGCAAAATATTCAGTTTTTTTGAAAAATGAAACTCCGGCATTTCTATGCTACTCACATCCGCCCACATTAATGAGAAGGTGCTATTCCATTTCTTCTGTCAAATAATGCTGTGGTCAGGTAGACATCTAGCATATGTCTGATCTGAAGGTGGTCACAGCTGGACCTCCCGTCTTACCATTCCTGAATCTATTCCACAAAGATATTACAGAGATCTGAGCTGCTGTCAGATATTTCCCATTCCGTCTTATCAGTGGAGGGAATGGTGTCTGGCACGGCAAACAAAGCACGTGTAAAGTCCTTAAATAAGGCATGAAATTGCCGGGATGCGGGAAGCGCCGCGGAGCCGAAGGGCCTGTCGCAGCCGACAGGTACAGCTGCTCACCTCCAGACGGCACGCCTCCCGGTTGCACTCCCATTAGGGAGGCCGCCGCTCTGAGTCAACACTTTTAATGCAGAAAATAACTTCATCCGTTTTCCATTATGATAACCACATTAAAGAAAATATCTGCCTCCACAAAGCGCTGCTCATTTCGCTGCTCCTCCACAGATGAATTTGCATACATTGGAGCCATGAGAGACGAAGAACTTTCCCCCATTTTAGACGTTTGGTCATGGTAGTGTTCAAGATGAGGATAAAAAGGAGTAAGCAATTCACTTCACTGAACGTCAGCTTCCAAAGCCTAGACGAGGAACCGAGACACGTAACAAATGTGTAACCCTGCAGATTATTTAGATTATTCTGACTGAATATTGATGAGTGTGTGTGTGTGTGTGTGTGTGTGTGTGTGTGTGTGTGTGTGTGTGTGTGTGTGTAAGTGAGTTTATTTGTGCATGTATGTGCTTGTGTGCTGGAGAGTGCAAGACAGAAACCAGCTGCAACATTGATATCTTAAGAAAGCCGCTCACTCACCTGGGAACTGGTAGCTGTAGCTGGGTGCGAATCCAGTGTATCCGCGTCCGTACGTTGCCACAATATTAGGGTAGCCTTTGAAAGAGAGGGAGGAGATTAAAAGGAGATGAGAAGAGAACTACTGGAAACAGATGCGATACCAACACACACAGACAAACACTCGGATAAAGCTATTTGTTCACTTTGAGGGGGGAACTGATCTGAAATAAGGCCAGCTCTAAAACTCCTGGGAGTTCCACAGCATTCAACTAAAGCAAATTCTAATTAAATTTTACACTGAAATAACGCACAAATTAAATATGTGCCTGATTATTACATGTTGGAATGGTGCTCTTCATTTACAAAGTATTGTGTGTACTGCGTGGTCGCTTAGGGAGAAGTGTTTTATGTTGCGCCCACTAAAGAGTCAGCATGTATTCATGGCTCAGAGTATTGATGGTAGATTGTTAACTCAATTGTGTTTGCTGTATGTGCAGTTTGACAACAAGCCCCGCTCTCAATCAATGGTCAACTATCACAATTACATTACGCCATAATCTTAATTGCGTTGCTCTTTTTGTATACAGCACATATTTTCTCCCGTCATGGATCAATATCCTGTTTAATCATATTACATTTCAGCACACTTAAGTCACTGCAACAGAAGCCTCAAATCAGTTAACAGAACGCTTTATTTATTTATTCTATTTTAGTTGATTTACTGATCCCCATCATTCATCAAGGTTAAATCTTGATCAGTTTCGGGTGTCATAACCTAGTGTCAGATTTGGTGCTGGTTCACAAAAGGATTGAACCCAGTTTAGTGCATCTAATAGTAATATAATTTAATAATATAGTGTATTCAGTGCTGCAGCCTCATGGCCCCTTTCTCTGGTCGTAATTGGTCTGGTAAAATTCAACCATAACCAATGATTTACAAAACCGGATGGAAAATATAACTACAAATTACCATCGGTAAGCCAAAGTCAAAGTGTGTGTATGGGCACAGGCCTGTTCCTCGATCGATGCAGAGTAACAACGAGGCCAGAAGCGGACTCTGTGTCATTCAAAGATTTTAGAGTAGCAGATGTATTGTTCATCTGCTGTCCTGATTCTTATTACAACCACAGACCCCGCCAGTTAATTAGCTGGACAGTTTTCAGACTGAAGCAGCTGGGGGCGACATATTGAGAAACGGGGTGTTAGGGAGCAGGCCGCTAGGAAGCGGGATAGCGAAGAAATTTGAGACGAGTAGGCGGGTGAGCCTGTGTGAGAGTGGGAAAGAATTTGAGCACCATCAAAAGGTAATATAAACATGATTAACCCTCTAATTATGGTATATGTCTCCGTCTTTATCTGTTTTCCTCGAGCTATTATCACCTTCAACCATACGTCGGGACTAAATTGCCTAATAAGAGGAAGTCCTTCAGGCCCGGAATGAGTCACTGGAGCCAACCTTGATAACTCTCTTCCCAGGGTGTAAATTACACCGCAGAAACAGACCTCCGAAATCTCCTTCAGGTTTTTGTGTTCTCAGCTCTTGTTAGATACAGTATATATTAGCATGATACTAATTGGCTATAGTCACATTTGAATTATAGCGTTGGCTATACACACGATAGATATGAAGGTGTCAAAACATACTTTGCCTAGATGCATTTTTGGAATGTGTGTGTGTGTGTGTGCGAGTATGCAGGCGATGTGCGCGTGTGTCTGCCTGTGTGGGAGCATGTGTGTCGATGCTGTGTTCTGTATGCCTCAGAGGCTGTGCCAGCTGGAATCAGAAAGGTTGACCTTGGTCATAAATATCTAATCAGTGTTTGCTGTCCATGAAAAAGTTCAATTTATTCCTGACCCAATGGGAAAATGCCTCTCCCACACCCTCTCCCCTCTCAGAGAGAAAAAGAAATGCGACTCAGAAAGGCGATGAGAGGAGCCTTAACCTGGTACGGATGAAGCAGGACGGAGGTAACACCAGAGAAAAATAAAAAAAAAAAATGAAAAAGAATATCCTCCATCAGCTGCTGATGAGAAGTCATCACCAGGAAGTTACAGACGGATAGCTTTCACACAAACCTGCACTGTTTGTTTGGTCGGAAAAGAACTGTGATACGATACAATGAAAAGCCATCACCCACTGCAAAATATTGGATATTATGTGTTTTATACTGTCTTACTGTCAAAACAGAACAAATGCCAAACTGAAATTGCTGGCTTAGATACCGCAGCTCCTCACACTGCCTTATTTCAGCAGTTTCTGAAATGGCAAACCCCCCCCACCCCCCCGTCTGATGTAGCGCATTACAAAGGGTTTCACATTACTAACTGAAGAACCTGCAGCGAGATGAGAGCACTGAGTGTGTAAGGAGTGGGCTGTAGAGGGGAACATGAACGGGTCGGGAAAGTGGATTAAGATACAAGCTAAATTAAGGTACTATCTCGTGAAATCCAAAGCATGTGCATCCAAAAGAACAAGGAGGAAACAAAAAGGGGAAAGGACAGCATGTCTCCTGCCGTTGCACTAAATGAAGCCTGCCGTTGCATCTGCCCTGGCGGCAGCCTCTTAGTGCTCTTATTTGCCTTATTAATATGCATGCTAATGTACCTACTTTATGGCTCAACAGTTCTGATTCACATTAAAATCAATTATCCATCTGGTGCACCCATACCTCGCTAAAGCTCAAATGTGTATTAATTTCAGCAAACATACATCGGGCGTAACACAATAAAGATAAATGCCTCGATTAGAGGCAGTAAACAAAGGAGCTGGGGATGGCTTTAATGAGATTTGGCACGAAAGGAGCTTACACTTTCTTAAATAATGAGCCTAGGGTCCCTTTTTCTAAATGCAAATTATATAAAGGAATGTTTCGCTGTCCTGTTCCAATTTCATTTAGATAAGAGTGTCTCCAAACAAGTTGGCTGTTAATATTCTCACATGAACACATCACTGCCTTTCTAGCTGCCGTCTCCCAACGGAGCGCGGGGGAGGAAAGTGTGTGTGTGGGGGGGGATACTGTCCTCTTCACAGGCACACTAGTCTGTAATAACTTCCCAAAAGTTCACTGTGCTCGTTAAATGCGTCTAACAGATGTGATGGATGTGTAGACCTCCTGGCCCGTCTCATCAACGCCTTTACCACATCAGTCTCACGGCATCGTCAAACCTGGAATAACCCTGACGATTTGACTGTGTGGACGAATAGGTGGAGACAAATAGGTGAGCAGATTGATGGTGGCGGAGATTATTTTGCTGCACCTTCGTTCTCCTCATTTAAAAAAGGGTCCGGGAAATCAATATTTGATCATTCAAATTCCAAATCATCAGTTTTCTAAAAAGTAAATGCAAAACGAGCTGCACCCGACTATGACTCGCTATTGACCTTCAAAGCCGTTTCGAGCATTGCGTTTCCTTGTACGGATCAGAATTCATGACTGTGGTTCTGCGTGCACCTGCTACGATGGATGAAACGGGGGGGGGGGGCAAACGGGGGGTGGGGGGGCAAACGGGGGGTGGGGGGGGTCACTTGCCCGGCAGAAACGAGTCTCTTACAATCAGCTGCATGTCTCGTTTGCCTCTGAAGGGGGGGGGGGGGGGGGGGGATAAATCTTTCATTCGAGGGCAAATCCATTTGGTTGGGTCACACATACAAATTATATGCATAGGAAATGTGAACAGACAGACGGGGGATCGAAAGACAGACAGACAGGCAGACAGGTAGTAGACAGTGGGCGGGCGGGGAGGGAGGGAGGCGGGTGGGGAGAGTACAAGAGTGTTAAGTAAAAAGGGCCACCGGCATGGGCTGGATGGTAATGATGAGGGGTGGGCCAGCAGCTGAGGTCCCTGTAGATGAGATCTCTCCCTGACATGTGTGTCCCCTTCATTACCCATTAAGGGGGGCACAGTGATGAATCCTTAATATGACATTACACCAATTTTCCTCTTCATTTAGCCTGCTAATGTGCTGGTCTGCTCCTATATGCCCGGGGGCCGCTTGTACCAGACTCCACCAGAAATAGACCGCGGTGGCCACCGGTGGCACACCTTCAAGCGGCCTAATTAGGGGCAGTGCCCACCTAATGGGGCTATCTAGGCGAGAGTTTGCACAGGTTGAATTATTATTATTTTTTTACATCCAGCAATTGATGACCGAATGTCACGTACGTCTGACATTGCCTCCTTTTATAAGAACCCCAAATTATTATATGCTTTTATTTGGCAGTCACATTTAACAAAATATAAAAGAAATGCACAAGTATTATTTAGAGGTTGAATCTGCTTGCTTCTGATTTCAAAACAAATATACAAAACAAAAGACGTATAGGGACCACGTGTGTGTGTGTCATTGTGCGAGTGGATGTTTGTACGGATGTATGACTCACTCAGCATGCCCATTCCCAGCATGAAGGCATCCATGGTGTAGGGCAGACCCCTGGCTCGCCCTCGTGTCCCTGGTGGGAACATCACCTCCTTGGGCTGGGCCTTCTTACATTCTACCTATGTACACAGACAAACACACACACACACACACACACACGCACAAGCACGCACACGCACACACCAAAAGACACAGAGACAAAGCATTAGATGGTGTACATACACAACCAGACAGATCTGACAGGCTGTCTCGGCTCTTTAAGGCGGTTTTCTATTTGACTTGCACGGCACTAGATGTTTTCCACAGAGAAAAACAAGAGCGAGTCAATCCGAGCACCCCGCATTTTGGAGGGAAAGTCTCGAAGGAAAACTTACAATCAGGCTCCTCCTGCATTAAAGCAAAGGTTATTGCTCCAGTGAGCATGGGCCCGATGCCTCAGGGAAATACAAGCTTAATACTTTTCAAGTGTCTTTGAGACGTCAACGTAGGAGAGGCTTTGTTCTGAAATGCCGACACGCTGTGTGGCAGTGCGTCGAGTTCTTCGCAAAAGGGTCTTCGTGGTTTAATCCAGACACAGAATAATCTCTCAAGCAATAATAAATCATTATCACACAATCTCTACATTTTATCTGCTCAAGTTTCAAAGGGCGGCATGCTTAACATCAGAAGCTGGTCAAATAAAGAAAGAAAAGTTTTTGTGTGTGTGTGTTTGTGCTCTGTGTATGAGTCTCGTCTGAGGTCCCCTGTGCCCTCGCAGTCCAATCCCACCTGCGGCACCCATCTCTCTCCTGCGTTTCTGTCTCCCACTCCGCTTCTCACACACGCAGGTGTGTTCATTTCCCATCTTGGAAGACTGACATCTCGTCCTCCTACATAACACATATCAAGTGAGGGATGTGACAGGGGCAGATGAGGAGAAGGAGGGATATGAGAGTCTTATTTACCACGTTATCTATCCTATCTTGATGAATTATAGAGAAGCACGGTCGGCCGGCATGGCCTCGTGCCTGTTGGTTGTTCTTTGGTGGGCCGGGTCTGTTCACCATGCTGCACAATCTATTTGCTCCACTGCCTGCTTGGCATCAGCCTGTCCATCTGTTTGTCTGTTTGCCTCCTGGCTCTCGGCGGCTTCTCCCTACTGCCTCCACTTAAGCGGGGCTTTCTCGGCTGCAGAGATTCACATGTCATCCTGGCCTGCTGCGCAAGACAGGCAACGGCGCCGGCGCTGTGCGTGCGGCCCGACGAAGGCGAGGCCCCTCGTCCATACAAATGGGCCTCGAAACTCGAGACAGGCCAGCGGCGCACATGACTATTCACGCACAAAATCCATTGCCACGTGCGCGCACAACGTGCCGTTTCCAGAGTTGCCGTGGCGTAAATATGAAATTTCACATCTGTAGGTTTCTGAGGTAAATAGTGTGTGATAACGAGCTCTGTTTTCTCACAGCACTGACGTAGAACTGGGGTTGTCACCAGTCTCTTAAAATACCGAATCGTCCCGTATTTGAGAGCAAAATAATGATTTGAAAGAATGGCGGAGGTAGCCAACCGTCCCGTAACGTCCCCGCCACCACCCCCCGTCGGCTGTAGCCTACTAAAGGTGGCAACCCTACGTAAAACCGTGAATAGGGAACATTAATGCAAAGGGTCTCCATCACAGAGGGAAAGTCGCTGTGGTTTATTTGCTGTTAGCAGCCCTCTTACTTGAAGCAGACCAACTAAAGTACACAGCTCCCTCGGCCACTTTGTAGCTGCCACAGCTGCTCGCCTGGAAAGGTTTGACGTTGTGCTGCAGCGAGCACGGGCGGCCTCATCGCCACAGAGAGGCCCCCAGCACGGATGCAGGAACCGTGCGGGACAAACGGGCCAGTTAGAAACCTCGGTACACAGTATTTCACACACGACTGGGTGGCAAACACAGTCCAGTTCAGAGGCCGCGTCGCCCCCCCCACCAAGCAGCCCCGGCCACATCTCCCGTAGCCCGCTGCGAGTGAGACGGACACAGGTGTGAGTCTTGTCTGCGTTCTCTCAGATGTGGAGCTTTGATATATTTAAACCAGCCATGAGCGAGGACGTGGGGCGGTGTGGGTGTGCGGGTGTTCACCTGCTTCAAACACACAGGGGGGTGTGAGACGGGAAGGCAGGAGCTTTCAGGAGTGTACCAAGTCAAGGAAAGGACAGGCCAGACAATTGAACACCACGCACCGAGAACACTCAGCAGTCGTGAACGCAGATTTGTACCTCGTGGAAAATGTTCACGGGCCGAACCTTCTGGCACGTGAACAAACGTCACATTTGCAAGTCAGCATTCCGACTGCAGTGTGAATTGCAGCTTGTGTGACTCGTCTCGGACTCCGGATGTTATAATGGCAGCACTGTGTTGTTGGAAAAGTTGGTGAATGGAGGTGTTTGAGGATCATTTTGCTTTGGGGAGAAAAAGCGAACCCCTTTAAGCTGCCTTGCCTTCACTGGCTTAGAAGTTGCATTGTTTTGTGCTTCTAAGATGCCTCGCGGATACACACACACTCACACACACAAACAGAATGCAAGGCAGCTGCCACTCAGGGCTGACAAGGTACGGTTACCTCAACCTACAAGCTCTCGACATAAATCAAGATCTTTTCTCCTCTGACATAGTGCTGTTGATGGCTCAAGATTTGTGTCACACTGTAAGCCAAGATGAAGTCAAAGAGGGGAGAAAACAGAAAGCCAAACATATAGAGTATATAAAAAGTTCAGATGGATTCAGTGAGGTACTTTAAATACTGGGAACTCTCTAAACAGCTGTCACTGAGGCTCCAACACGCAGCCGTAAAAAAAGAAAGGTGCCTTGGCTCTCGGCCAAGAAACCTGCAGCACGGTTTTCAGTAATCCAAAAACAAACAACGGGAAATGACCCCGAAACGATGCGTGCGACACGGAGACAAATGGCGACATGCTGTATAGTAAGTAGCCTGTGGATAACAGCCGATGCTCAGACTCCTCACGTTGAATTTTTGCTCTCAAACTGGAATGACGCCCACTTGAGAGTTCAGCCGTAAGGCCTCAGGCCGTATCATTTCTATTCATTTGTTCTTGCATTACACAGTATTGCCCGAAAAACTGCTAAATGGGTAAGGACTTAAAAAAGCTAATGCTGAAGCTTATTCGCTACGTTTGTCTTCAGGCAAACGTTGAAATTCTGAGTGAGACAAACAAAGCAATGTGATAGATGAGTAATACATTTCATTCCAGCGTCATTGTCGAAACGCAAATATTTCAGTTTAACTGCAGAGCATTTCATTTGGTTCTGCTGTCGTCTTGTTCTGGTTGTGAAATCGGGACTTTCTGTCTCTGTTGTTCTTTCTCTATCTGCCAATAACCAAGCGTGATATTGAAATCATAAGGTGCGCATACTGTAGGCACACAAAGACAAGTCTACTTGATGAGCGTAGCGTGTCACACAGCCCCGTTGATGAAGAATAGAACAAACAGCTGCTTTTGTTTCACTGTGCAAAGCCAGCAATACCGAGCAGAGAGACACTCAACCTTTGCAATACATCTGCTATACATATTAACCTTGTCATACTCAAATCAAACAAAATGTGAAGAAATTTTAAAACTTAAGGGAAACACTGTCTTGTGTTGTTTAATTACTTGGCAAATGGTGTCTTTAAAATATGCGTTTAAAAGGTATTACATGGCGCAGCTAATTGATAGTAAGCAGATTTTAATGACAGGACGACTCTCGATTGCTTCTGACTTTGAGACTTAATACCTACTTTGAAGCTAAAACACTGGGAATTATTCTCAGGTCATACTGATCAGAGAATAATGAATCATTATGTGCAAACTCTGGCAGCTACTTGAAGCATGAGCATGTTTTAGGAATAACACAATCTTTGTTCTCCATTAAAGGTCCAAAAACAAATATTTGAAGCATCCAAAGGGTCAACATCAGATATTCAGAGCCACTTTACGGACTTGGTGAACCAGTCAAAACAAGAGCTGTAATATTATGTATTTTATAAAGAGGACATTTCCTGCAAACCTTCCTTTTTGAAATCCTTTTATTCATGGATCATAAAATAATGGGGGTGTATAATAACGATGAGATGTTTTGGATAAAGCAAAAGGAGGCCTTCAGCGGCCAGCTATCACAGTCATTTTGCCAAATGATATCTGCATGGTTATGTAAGTGCTAAGGGATGTGAGGTCACTGTAAGGACCCGGTGCTCCCTGTGGTGCAAAAAGCAGTTCCACCGACATGTTTTTTTTATATAGCAAGAGGATATTGTCCCCTAACACACATTCAAAAGGAATGCCATGATCATCAGATCGATGCCAAATGGCTTCCATCACCTCCTCATCAGCAGATATGAACATCGTGTGTCTTTTATGGGATGTCCTGGAGTGTAGACTGAGAAGTGGATTTTCCACCTCCTTCATCCCTCAAAGCTTTCCTTCTTCAACGAAGGGTAAATATCCAATTACTTACAGTCCAGGACCTGGACGACAGCCCTCCGCGAGGGACTGAAACGGCTCCGAAGGGTGGTCCTTCTTCCTTATTACGCACTTGATGTTCAAACACAGTTTAAGAAAAATAGATTTTCAAAGCCATTTTCCGAACCCAGAGACTTCAGCTCCTCTCCGCGGAAACCTCTTTTAAAACAGTGATGGCTAGTTTATGCTGCTGCCATAACCCGGTGTGTCCGCGGGGGATTTATACGACGGGAGACACCTAAGTGGACGCCACACGGACACTCTCGCTTCATGGCCTCCAGCTTTAGGGCAATACACTTTCATGTTAATGTAATAGGCAAAGAACTTGTGTAGCTGGCCCTCACAAACTTAGATGTTGGTACTAATTACAGTTAATTAGGTTTTGGTTAGCTGATCACATATCATCAACCCTTATTGCAGCTTCATAGCATCCAGAAAATGATTCAATTATGTAAGAATGTAAGTGCAATGCTTCTAGAAAAATGTACAGTATAAACAAATTGGGTCTTTTACAGTATTATACTTCATCAATTTCAAACCCTGTTCTGTGCCATAGTTTCTTTTTATATATAGAGGTCATTCTGTATTGGGGAGTAAAGTTATGAAACGTAAAAAAGAAAACAATCCTTCATCCTGCTCCCCAAATGGGAAAAAAAGCCGTACATGGTGTCGCACGGAGAAAAATGCTGCATTAATAATAATGTATGGGTTATGTGATGCTATATTTCCTGCCCAATTCTGCTTACATCCATACAATGAGCCGAGTACATCTGTGTGTATATATGAAAGGCTGATATATGAACCCCAGTATTATCCTCAGCGACTGGGAGAGTCGGAGCTTATTCTGCTCTTCAGCGCAGTAATTGGTTGCTCTCTTCATGAGGACAGGAGAAATTGACGACTAACAGAAAATTCCTCCCTCCTGTTGTGATCATTCGCCGGGGTCGAATATTCAAAATGACACATTAAAGAACATTACCTTGAAGCACTTGACTAAAACCAATGTGAGTCCGTTTTAATGGCACACTGCTCGCTCATCAGAGCCAATACTTGATAGGTATTATTATGAATTAGCTGCGCCTGCATAACGACCTGGCGAAGAGGGATAGAAGGACTCCTGTCTTTGGAAATGAAATTCACAGCCTTTCCTTAGCTGTCTTACTACAGTATCATAAAGACATTCGTATGTGTGGCAACCAGAGGCTGTGATAGACTGTTAGCCATCTTATGCTTATTGATTTTTACTCCAGAATATTTACTGGTTTCAATACAAGGGCACAGAAATCACTGTTGTGGCTAAAGAATGATACAATCATGTGAAGGGGCCCATAATCCAAACGTTCATACCATCCAGCATGACGGGCCTTAAACCCCTTGGGGCCAATATGTGATATTGGGGGACATTAATAAAATGGACTTGGCGGTCTGCAGAGGTGAGAGCAATGCAGAAGCCAGTGCAGCGGGTGGGGCAGGTTGAGGGCTTCTTTCTAAGCAGCACCTTCTTTTTAATTATATATAAGGCCAAACTCACGCCGACGAACAGAAAGTGCTCCTGAGAGTCAGGCCTCGGTGGCGCATGAACACAGGGTGCTTGACCAAGTGACTACAACTAAAAGGTCCAGGCCCTCACATCTGAGAGGGCACTGACCCACCACACTGCCGGAGCCGTTGAGAGACGGGGCAAGGAGAAGGAGGGGTGCCCTGTACATCCAGCACCCTCCCTAGTGGGGCAGAATTTCTGTCTGCATCAATTATTCAGCAGCCATTTTAGATAACACTGGCGGGGAGGATGGATGAGGTCTATTTCTGTATGGTACTTCATAAGGATGAAGACAGGAGACATTTTTTATTCGGCGCGCCGGTGCTCCAGACACTGGATAACCGGTACTCTCCGCTCTGCAGCGAAGCTAAAAACCTGATGAGTCTTTGGAAAATGCTTTTAACACACTTCACACTCTTTGCTGACGTTCCGAGATGTCAGCAGTTGCGGAACAAGGACACACATATTTCCTGCATCCTATGGGGAAACTGACTGTACAGTAAGTGCTGTCGTGAGGGTCTTCTTACGAAAGACAACAAAAGCCACATATAATGGTCCCTCGCTCCGCCCTCGCTGCACCCTCTCACTACTCCTGGATGAGTCACACGGTCTCCACAAGGGTCACTTTCGTATACAAGTGCCTGCACGCATGCTACAGTAGGACGCTGCTTCTTGCAGTCCACTAGCAGTCGTTGTTTTCTGTTCTCTGGCACAGAACTTGGAGCACTTGTCAAAAACGGACAACAGCGAATCACGTCGCAGCTGCAGGCATAAGAGATTTGAAGCTTCCAGCTAAAAAGGCGCCCACTTCAGTTCACAAAAAATTGATGACGATATCAGCAGACATCACGGCTGTGAAACGGCACGGTTAGTGGTGGTTATTGCTGTTGCCTCGGAGCAAAAAATTCCTGGGTTTAAAACCCCCACACAGCGGCTGTTCTGCGTGGAGTCTTCATGTTCTCCGTGTTTGCGCGGGTTCTCCGGCTTCCTCCAACAGTTGAAATGCTCGGGGGGGCTTCGGTTAAGTGGTGACTCTGAATTGCCCGTAGGTGTATTAAGGTAAGAGTGAATGGTTGTTTGTCTCCGCGTCCGTCCCTGCCGTTGACTGGCGACAAAGTCCAGGGGCTAGCTGGGATGGCCTACAGCCGCCCTCGCTACCCTCTGCGGATCAGCAGATATGGAACATTATATGCCACGTTAACAGTATCCATGACATACAAAAGTTCCACCTGAGCAGAACCCGGACGCTTTGGACGCTACTTGATAAGATGTATTGGCCGTTTGCTGCGGCGTTCTATCCTTTTTGTGAATATAAAGAGAATGAGTTTGCCTTTGTTTTAAGTGGCTTGTCCATCATAGTACTTATCACACTCTTATCTAATCGACGGTCCCTTGCAAGGCCAGCAAAATATTAACAGTGTCTGATCTCTTGTTTATTTAACCATTTGTTGTTAACTGAGCAAAATATGTTGTGGAGCTGCGTTATTATGTCTGTCCTTCGGAATTGTAGTATTTCATGAAAATTCCTGACTAAAACCCCATATTTATCAATATTTATCAATGCAGCATATTTACTGAATGCTGTGCCATGAAATTAGCCAATTGCCAACTTTTGAAAGAAAGAAAAAAGCATTTTATAAATTAATAATGATTATCAAATGAATGAACATTAACTCAACCAACTATTTGTTAGGCAAATTAGCATTCCTAATTAAGCAGAGTGTTTACAATCCAATCTAATTAGATCTATCTAATTAGAACTTCATACAAATAGGCTGTGGGTTGGACTTAAATGAGGATTATTTTTTCCAAACAGTTTAAGTTGGAGTGGGACTTAGAAAATGACAACGTTGATGTTGTTAGATATCAGATTTGTTGATAGCAAAAGTTGGATTACAGTTATTCTTGCAGCATTTACTGTGAAAAAGTAGGTTGTAAATGTTTGCTTTGCTTTGTTTGCATAAATGGACGTTCTGGCGTGTGTGCTCATGCGTCACCTTGATGCCTGATGGCGGTGTGTTCATTCCGACATGGCAAAGGATCGCAGACATTTGATCGTGACAGAATGTCCTCGCCGCGCTTACAGCTATTTCTGTCACGCCCTCGGCTCGCGGTGCTGCAGACTGTGATTCGGCGCAGAGACCCCCAGGGATGTATACTGGAGGTCATATGTCACCTGGGCCGGGCCCCGGTGAACACGGTTCTACTACGCTGGTCCTGTCCGTCAAAGAGCCAGTCAGTTTTAGGAGAAAAGGCCTGGGAGGAGGCAGGGGGGCAAGACAAGTATTCCCTGCAGTCAATCACTATCCACAGAACCGCTCAAATGATGCAGGCACTCTCCAGAGCCCTGCGGCGTGGAACTGGGTGAAGTGGGACCTAATGTCACACTCGCTACGCTGAATTTGGTCCCTGTCAATTATCATAAGGGACATGATGGCTTAGGAGGCGGATGCTGAACTCTGGCTGGTGCTCAGAGACGCCCATATTACTGGTGTAAATTAAACAAGCATCACTGGGACTCCTTGGAATGTGTTAATCCCTGCCTAATGAACTCTGCCTCTGCCAGTACCTTCCCTGTTGCTTCCCTGGACATCTCCACCTGTGTGCGCGTGTGTGTGTGTGTGTGTGTGTTTGTGTGTTTATGGCAGTGTGTGCGTGGTGGTGTGGATTCAGGAAAGAGAGGGACAGGCTCCACTCTCCCGTCCCTCAGCCTGACAGGCAGAACTCACCCACACAATTTCACGGTTTGTGGGCAGTGCACACCATTGCTTTCCCATCCCTGAGACCTACAGAGTGTGTGTGTGTGTGTGTGTGTGTGTGTAAGTGTGTGTTAGCTTGTGCATATAAACAAAAACACACAGACACACAAACACAAACTAACAGACACACCTCCTCCGCCGCCACCATTAATACCAGAGAAAAAAAGGAATGAAATATTAATCCTTCAACACACACCTGGAATTGAAAAAGTAAATGAGTGGACTTACCATTTTGTTATTGATTTCATGAAAATGAATTTCACAGACTTTCTCTACGATGTCTTCACTCTCAAAAGTTATGAAGCCAAATCCTACGCGGAGAGAGAAACAGAGAAGGGGGAGGGGGGGCGAGGGGGGGACAAAGAGGGAAAGAATTGGGTTAGTGGATAGCCTTAACAAAACTTCTGGAACTCAAAAAGAAAAACGCCAGAAACTATATATGCGGGGACATCTGTGGAGATTGGCTTGGGCAGGGAAGAGAACAAGTGAACACGACAGACATTGTCCTCTTTAAATCGGGGATATGATGAAATCTGCCACATTATTAAGGGCACTCGAGGACCTCTTGTACAAAGAGAAGATGGGAACACAGCACAAAGCTCTTTTAATGAGATTCAGGGAGCTACGGCCCAGTATCTGAATTTCATTAAATGCATTTTGTGTTCTTTTTATTGAAATCTCACTGTATAACAAGCCCTCGTTTTTTATGTTAATGCAGGCCTTAGAAAGAATGCGTCGTTGACATTGGGATTTTAATGCCATATTTGTAGGATAAAAGCTTAACCCCTCTTTCGACACAAAGGCGGAGAGGCATGATAGTTTCAGACTTTTGAACAGAAGTGGATTGCGATGCTCTCTCCTCTGTGTTGTGATGGTGACGCACAAAGCAATCTAGCGTCTCTATAGCCCGGGTTGAAAGGGAAACTGATATTCTATTACTTTTGCAAAAGAAGGAAACGGCACAAAAGAGAAACAGTTAGTGAATAAAGCAGCAAGTGCGACTGAAAGGAGATGAGTTTCTTTTCAAAACGGGAAAACACCCCACAGCGAAATAAAACAACCTCAGATTGGGCTTAAACCGCCCTGTCACTGCTGAAAGCATCCCACCCGGCTGACGCACACTCCATCTGTGATATTCACCTACTGGAGGTGAGGAGGAACGGATACGCGAAAGACTGCGTTTCAGAAATCAATCGTTGACCGAGCGGGCCGTGGTGCTATTTGCCTATTCGGTAAAGTCGAGAAGAATCCGCGTGTTCATTGTGCCCACGGGAAACGTTGGGCCTCTTGATGTTCAAACCCAAGCAGAAAGCGTCAACGTGAAAGGTGTGTACGATGACACGTTATTGTCTGAACTCAATCAGATCAGCCCCCCCGAAAAAACACCGCCATCTTTGTGAGGAGCTGCTGCTTAGTAGCCGGATTATCGGCAAACACCGGCATCCAGAGTTTTGTCATAAAGTCTTTATCTCTCGCTGGCATTTGTCTTTCTCTCCTCCTCCTCCAGCTCTTCCCCAAAAAATAACAAAGAGCCTCTTGAAGCGTCCGCCGCAGATGCTGACACCAGCTAGAACATATCAAAGCAGCCTTGTCAAAAGAAGGGCTGGGAAACCTATTGTGAGAGCTGATTAAACACGGACAACATCGAATCTAATGAGATCTTATGAGACAGAATATCAATTTCCACTGAGACGTCTCAACACTGAGCTCCAGCTGGGGGGGGGGGGGGCTCGCCCCACCTTCACGCCAGCACTAGGAGCACTTTTGACAACCAACAAATCAACCGCCAGGAGTAATTTGTCACGGAGGGGGTGTAGGTAGAGTGTGTGAGGAGGGGGAAAGAAAGGGGGGGAGGGAGGGGGGGGGGGAGACGAAATGAGAGGAGCGGTGGGCAGACAGACAGAAAAACGTGACGAGGAAAGGGGTTAACACACATGGCCCCTGTCGCCACACTCCTTCCTGCCGCCACAGGCAGCTCCTCCATCAACTGACAGGACATTTTCCACCGCACCATTATATCCACTGGGGTCAGCCGCATGCGAGGCCCCTACACCCATGACAGTCTCTGTTTAAATGAACAAAAAGACAGTTTTCAGTAGCGAGGACTACTTTTTGTGTCCCGTAGATAAAATAAAATCAAAACACCCCTTGTGTTTCTCTCTCCTCGGCTCGGTCAGCACACGCCTACTTGGTCGCAGACCCCTCCTCCCTACTAGCTCCCGCCATTACAGCGCAGTCCTTTGCTCCACTGTCCTATTTTACAGACCCTAAAGACAATTACAGGCCACAGAATAGCGGCAACAAAAACATTTCTCGCTCCCCGTCCACTCCTTGTGCGCGGCGTCGGCGGAGCGACATTGTCCTTGTGCGTCTCGGCCCCTCTCTTCAAACCCTCCACACGTGGCAGGCGGCTGACCTCAACGGGACTATTAAAGACTGTCAGCGGGAACAGACACATGGATAGAGGTGTGAATGGGAGACCCCCCCCCCCCCCCCACGTGCACCGCCCAAACAGCACCCTGTAAACGGAAACACATTGGATTTTGCGGGCAGGCCGGCTGATAATAGGTGTTGTGTGGCTACCGGCTCGGGCCTCTTGGCCACACTTGATCACACTTATTAGCCGGAGCCTGGCTCGGCCCTCATCTCGTCGCTCCACAGAGTCGGCGGGGAGCCTACTTTCACGGCCCTTTACCACCTTCATCAGACTCGCTCTTTATTTCACACTCATTTCAGGTTTCTCTGCTTCTGTTGCTCGAATACATTTGCTCCCTACATCCCCTCGCAGCCTCGGAAAAAGCTGATTCTGCCAGAAGCAGATAATGGAGGAGCTTGCAAATTGATGCAGCTAAGTTTACTTTGACTTGAAAAGTGGCGTTGCAGCTTTAAATTAAGTTTGAAACTTAACAGGATTCTCTAATGTATTCCCCTTAAATCTAAAGTGGGTTTAAACGCTCCTCTTACGTCTTTCCTCTCCGTGCCTGGCGTAACCATGTGCACAGCGCAGATATTAACAGACAGTCAAATGTGAAAAAATAAATAAAAATCATCCTTGCTTAGTCCTTAAAAACGTCAGCGAGAAGTGGTTGTGGGAGGAATATTATAACTAGTAGTGGTGTCAGTCATTGTTGGAAACATCGGGTAAGTCTGTGCGAGTGTCCACAAGAAGCAAAGTTAAGGGGCTATAAATTTACAACTGCTGCAGGAAGCAGCTAAATATGCCGCTATAAGTGCATGAGAGTGAACGTAAAGCACACATGTATGATCAGTGCAGACCTGGAGCTTATCACCTGCACCCTTCAACGCTGATTTTAAGTATGAATTGATTTAAAAGAGACTTTCCTCACCGACACTGATTGGACCTCATTATCTTGGTACACATTCATACATGCTAGTGCCCCCGCACACAAGCTATGACACAAACCGCCTCATGTATTCAAGCATACACAACAATGGCTGCTGCAATGCATTATTTGAGTTGATGCAGCCTCTCAAGTAGCCCAAACACATCACCATGTCTATCTAATGAATACAATGACAATAGGCCTTTATGTGGCTCCTGATTAAAACTGCATCCAATGAGAGCAGTTTGCTGACGAGCCGCTGAACGCTGGCCCCGTCAACACAAGAAAGTGGGGCAACCTGGGGGAAGTGTCAGACATGTCCTCTGGGAGACAGCAGGAAGGGAATGAACCACCCTCCCAACAGATAATGCACACGCACACGCACACACACACACACACACACACACACACACACACACGTACACATACTGTACATGTATGCTTGGCTGCTAGGTCATTGGTGCAACCCACCTGCAGCAACAACTTCCTCTACTCCCGCATCTGAACTAGTTATCCAGCCTTAATTATGCATGGGCCAACCTTCATCCGCCCAATCAGGGGCAGTCTACAGAGACCGCCTGACTGCCTGTGCGCCCCAGCCTCCGAGCTCCATCTCCTTGTAATGCAGAGCAGCAGACAGAGGCAGTCCGAACACCCACGGCACAGTTAGAGGCCTTTGATCAGTATTTCCGTCTGCTATTACTAGAGACCGAGAGCCCCGGGCGTTAATCCCCTGTTTAATACAGTTAACGGCATGAACTCTCTAGCAGCACAGGCCGCTTACAGTAGAGGAAATAGAATCGAGGAAGAGTAAATTTATGAAAAAAATATTAGAGACATGCTAAACCTTAAATGAACTGGGCTTGAAAACACAGAAAATGATAAGGGTGCTTTAGCTATGTATATGTAAAATAGGCTGTCTGTAAACACTACACTGAGGTATCAGTATTGATATGCTAATGCCGATAAGTAATACGTTTTACAAAGTCCAGTGTAATGATTAAGTCTCTCGCGATATAGATATTTATATATCATTTTCACATCTCCCTGATGATATATACCATAATACAGCAGGCAAATAGACACATTGGCTACTGGAAATAACCAATGGCTGCTGTATACTCCTGGGTCAAAGAGAAACATAATACTAAGTATTATCTCAATTAATTAAGAACTTAGAGCAAAATAATCACATAATCAGAATATTCATTGAAAGACAATGAATATTCATACTCAATTATCGACAAGCCCTTATGAAAATCAACTGAAACTGAGGGAGCAGAATTTGTTATCAGAAAATACAAAAAAGGAAGAATTCTTAACAAAAAGTAACAAAGTCTTCAGCGTAGGTCCTGAGAAATGTTGTTCCTCCTTCATAATAAAATGGGTGTTTACATTTCCCATTGAATAGACATTGAGAGAGAGAGAGACACACAATAAAAACATGAAAAATAAATGTGACTGCTTTGAGGAGCGCGAGTGCGTTGGCGAAAGTGAAAACGGACGATGCAAAATGAATCACTGAGGTGAACAGCACAGCGGGACAACAGTCAGAAGAGAAGAGCTGTCGTGTTGTTGGTTTTGTCGTCCTGGAATACAACTGCTACATTTTTTCTTGTTTCCTCATCAGATCCTTGATCTAAAACGGGGAACAAATCGAAACAATGCCCATCACGTGTATCTATTCGAAGTGGCCCCCGGTATTGATGAACAGCAGGTGGCTTAGCACAAGAGTGACGGAGGCTTTACGGCTATAAACAGACACTCTACGTTCTACTGCTGAAATAGAACCCGTCAAAGAAGCAAAATGAATTCAAACAAACTCTGGGGATCACTGAAAAGATGTGTTGGTTAAAAGGGACCAGTAACTACAAACTGCTCTTACATTTGAGATGTATTTATTTACTCCTTAACATGAATAAAATGGGCCGTCGGAGTCGGCTACTTGGGTTACAGCCCGAGTGAAA